GCTTAAAAGAAACTCAGGCAAGTGTCCTGGAAGCCAAGATAAGGAAGTATTTTCAGAAGAAACTGTTGCTTTGAGTCAAAATAGCAATAGAACTATGAACTGACCTTTGAATTTATCAATGAGGATATTACTGGTGAGTTTAACATAGAAGTTTGGGTGAAATTGTGGTGGTGGTTACATTCAAACATCTGATTGAGGTATCCAAGTTGTATGTCTGTGGCCTTCCAGCTTCCTTCTGACCACACCCAGAGTGAGTTTGTTGTTATTGCTAGGTGCCATCGAGTTGGCACCAACTCACAGGCAGAAACACTGCCCGATCTTGAGCCAACCTTACAATCACGGATACATTTGAACCATTGCCACTGTGCCAATCCATCTCGTTGGGGGTCCTCCCATTTTTCTTTGACTCTCCACTTTACACACCATGATATCCTTCTCCAGAGACTGGTCCCTCCTGATAATATGTACAAAGTATAAGAGATGAAATCTGGCCTTCCTGGCTTCCAAGGAGCATTCTGGCTGTACTGCTTCCAACACAGGTAGGTCAGTTTGTTCTTTTGACGGGCCATGGTACTTTTACTTTTCTCCTCCAACACTGTAACTCAAATGCATCAATTCTTCTATGGTCTTCCTTATTCACGGTCCAACTTTCACATGCATATGAGGTAACTTTAGTACCCTAGTTATTCTGGACAGCACTCTAGACCCTGCTTCCTGTATTTCCTTCTTATTCAACACTTTTCGTATAAGTTCACCTTTCTCTAAATTGTGCTTGGTTTACTTCTTGCTGTTGAGTTGGTTCTGACTCGTAGTGACCCTGTGGGTTTCCAAGGAGCAGCTGGTGGGTTTGAACTGCCGACCTTGTGGTGCACAGTCCAGTGCTAATCCTACAGTGTCACAACAGGAGTCCCTTGGTTTACTAGCACATTGTTAATATACCTATTACAGTAATTCATGCCCAGGTATGGAAGATTATGTTATACCTGCTAGTTGTTGCATTTGATTTAGGTACTAAAACAAACAATGGTGAAAATCACATGAGGTGACTATGGGTTTTTGTTTTTTCATCTCTGCTCATTTCATGTAAGCAGCTATCAACTTCATCTACAAGTTACAGCAACTCTGATTATGTCTTATCTCCCCAAATATGTGGTACTGAACATATGTTTCCCTAAACAGAATCATAAAGGTGTAAAATTAAAAGGGGCATTAGCGATTATCTAGACTGGAGGGTTTGAGTTTTTAAAGCAGTAAAATCCTTTTCTCAACTGAAATGTTATGTGGAAAGTTAATATATAAATTAATAAAAGTATAGCCGATGTTCCTGAGTCCTGGAATCTAAGCCCTGTAGGTTTCCCTTTGTTGTCTGGGGCCATCCCCTGAGGGTACTTCCATGGAACCCAGAGGGCTTCCTAGAGTGCTGCTTTAAAACCCCTAATTTAGACTAACCCTTTCATTTTTCCAGCTGAGGAAATAGGCCCAGAGGATTTGTGTTTTATCCAGCTTTAGAGGGTAAATTCCTTGGATTAAGAGCAGTCCTTACATGTAATAGGAAAGCACTATTAGACAAGGGTAAGAGTTATCATTTCTGATGCAGATAGCTTTTGCCATCTCATTTCTTTTCATTAGCAAAAATTTATTTGGTATAACTACTACTTGTGCAATATTTTCTTTGGCTATAATTGATTCAAAGAAATATAAGATATAGCCCTTTGCCTTAAGGAACGAAGTAGTCTAAACATGCAGTTGAAAATTTAAACACAGAATTTAGAATACAACATCAAAATTAAAGATGTAACAAAGCAATGTGGAATTAATTGAGAGGAAATGGTAATAAGCATTGTTGTTGTTAAAGTTCCATCATGTCGGTTCCGACCCATAGTGAGTACCATGGACTGCCAGAAGAACAAATTGATCTGTGTTGGAAGAAGTGCAGCCAGAATGTTCATTAGAAGTCAGGATGACAAGACTTAATCACCCATACTTTGGTCATGTGATCTGAAGGAACCAATTCCTGGTATATCATGTCTGGTAAAGTAGAGGGTCAGCGAACAAGAGGAGGACTGTTAACAAGAGTCAATCCAACTCATAGCGGCCCTGTGTACAACAGAACAAAACTCTGCCTGGCCCTGTGCAAGCCTCACAATTATTGTTATGATTGAGCCCATTTTTGTTGCCACTATGTCAGTCCATCATGTTAGGGGTCTTCGTCTTTTTCAGTGACCCTCCACTTTACCAAGCATGATGTCCTCCAGTGGCTGGTCTCTTCTGACAACATGTCAGAAGAATGAAAGATGAAGCTTTCTGTCTGTACTTCCTCCAAGACTGATTTGTTTGTTGTTTTGGCAGTCCATGGGTTCTTTCAGTATTCTTTGCCAACATCATAATTAAAATACATCGATTCTTTTACAGCCTTCCATATTCATCTTCCAACTCTCACATACATATGAGGCTATTGAAAATACCATGGCTTATGTCTGGCTCACCTTAATCCTCAAATTGGTATCTTTGCTCTTGAACACTTTAAAGAGATCTTGTGTAGCAGATTTGCCTAATGCAGTAAATGTATTGAGTTCTTTTACAGCTTCCATGAGTTTTGTCTTTGACAACTTTTTATCTTTTTTCCATTTATCATATTATTTACTGATCCAGTTTTGAGGATTTCTGGTTTCTTTATACTGAGGTGAAGTCCATACTGAAGGCTGTAGTCTTTAATTTCAGTAAGAATTTCCAGTCCTATTCACTTCTAGCAAGGATTGTTGGGTTATCATATTCATATCACAGGTTAATGAGTCTTCCTCCAGTTCAGATGCCAGGCTCTTCTTTATAGAATCCAGCTCCTCAGATTATTTGCTCAGTATATGATTGAATTAAAGGATACAACCCTGGCATATACCTTTCCCAATTTGAAACCATTCAGTGTCCCCCTTTTCTGTTTGAATGATTGCCTCTTGGTGTATGTACAGGTTCCTCATGATCACTATGAAATGTTCTAGAATACCCCCTCAGACCCCAGTGGACAGTTATCCCTGTGTGGTCACCTTCAGGGTGCCATGGGACAATATGACCCTGACTGGCTTCTTTTTTAATATGTAAAGAATGGCACCTCTGAATATTGTTGTTTTTTTGTCTTTGAAGTGGAAGGACTGTGCCAGGATCATGTTTGTACTTTCACCTGGAGCTCCATTTTGACTTCTGGCAGCAATTCCAAGTAAGTGCTGTGCTTTGGGTCCCACGTGAATGCCACTTCGAGCCTGGGGCCATGGGTGTGAGAAGCTGTCAGTGTAGTTCTCAAGGTTTTTCCAATATTGAAAGCTGTAAACAAGTAGTTCCCAAAAGCAGGCCTGCTTGGTTAAGAGCATACATTTTGGCATTGGAATAGCAAGTTCTCATTCGGATCCCAAGCATTCACCAAATGCGTGATCTTGGTCAAGTTACAGGATCTCTATTTTACTCAGGGGCCTCCTCTGAATGTGAAGATTAGATTGTTCACCTCCTTGGACTCTTGTAAAATGGTGAAGTTATATGTCAAGCTTCTCTGGATTGGGGGGTAAACCTACAAATCTGGTGAAGCTAGCAGGTATCCCTCCAAAGCCAGGTATTGTGGTAATTCACTTGGCCTGAATTCACAGATCTTACCATGAGGCTCTGGTGTCATCCCAGATGTTGTCATAAATTTGTTTTTAACAAACAAACAAGTGTTTTTAACAAACAAACAAGTGTTTTTAACACACAAACAAGTGTTTTTAACATTTATTGTTTTTGAGTGCTGTTGAGTCAGTTCCAACTCATAGAGACCCTGTATGGGTTTCCAAGGAGCAGCTGGTGAGCTTGAATTGCCTACCTTGCAGTTCAAACCAATTTTGCAGTCCAGTACATTAACCCACAGCACCACACCAGGACTCCTAAATGCACTTGAGGTGTAGGATATTTGGGTGACACCCACCAGGACCAATGTAGAGACATCTTAAGCTATGCCTCAGAAAAGGTATCTGCCAAGGAATCTAAGAGGCAGGCAGAATAGAGATGGAAGCAAAGTGATGGCTGAGTAGGACAAGACATTTGTTAATGGTGTGGGGTTGTTACTCTATCTAGCTGTCTGAACTGATTCTTCCTCCAGTCTTTGTGTCCTGAATAACCAACTCTCTGTGAGAGATGCCAGCCCAACATAGTCCCAGGTTGCCTTCTGCACCCCAGTGCCCACCATCTCCCAGGAGCTGCAGGAAATGGTACAGGCATTCTCCAACAGCTTGTGATAAACCTTGAGTGCTCTCAAAGTGAGTGCTAGGAGTGGGTGTGGATGGAGGTGACCTGGGGGAAACTGGGGAGTGAATGATGAAAAGTCACAGGCCAAGGGCTTTGCTTCTTTATTTCACCTATTGTCACACTAGATATCTTTCCCACTCAGTACATGTTATGTACTGTTATGTACATGATATGTACATGTTATGCCACCTAGTTACTCTCAACATGTGCACAGTGCTTTCAGAATTTCATGGGCCCTGATTCCTTTATTGACAGACACTGGGACCTCCAGGAAGACCCCCCAATGAGATGGATTGGCCAAGTGGCAGCATCGATGGACTCAAGTGTGGCAACAGTAGTGAGATTGGCACAGGATCGGGCAGTGTTTCATTCTGCTGTGCATAAGGTTGCTATGAGTCAGTACCGACTCGATGGCACCTAACAACAACAACTCACCAAGCCACTGTGCTCATTCTGCTGCTATCATCACAACTAATGGTATGCTTCTGAGGCCTAGCTTAGAATGTGGCCTTGTGTGATCGGTGTCTTCCCTTTGTTCCTAGTGATGTCCGTCACCCATGCTTTCTCTACCCTAAGTAGCTTTCTGACAATCACTGGGATAACACCAGAAACTCACTTAGTCCATGGTGAGGTCTGGGATTTCAGGCCAAGTGAGCAGACCCTGGATGGTCTGGGAATGATACCAGGGCTCCTGGTTCTGATGATGCTCCACTTCTTCCCTTCTCTCCCTTTAGCCTATGATCAAGGACCCAGAAAATGCCTCCATGAAGTAACCTACAGTTCCAAAAATGAAAATTCCAAAGAAGCCAAGTTTCTGTCCATCCTCATCATCCTTGTCCTTCCCCTTCTTTTCTCTGGTTAATGTTCTGTGTATTTGTTCCACCTAGTTTCTTTGTTTCTTTTCAATTCAAAATACAGGATGACATTCCTTGTTATGGCATATCCCAGAAATATCCATTCAAGGCAAGCATTATTGTAACTATCTTTCAAAGGGGAAAGTCAGTGAGTGTAAGCGACCTCCTGGAAAACTGTAGACTAGAGACTCAAATCCTGGACCCACCCTAAAGCCCAAGCTGTGGTTGCGGGTCACTACTTAACACTGATAAAACTGGGTACTGGTCTTCTGTGTTCCTAGTACATCAGTCAATTATTATTTTTAAATGACATTATACTGCATTTTAGGTGAAAGTTTACACAGCAAATTAGGTTCATCTTTAACAATTTTATACGAATTGTTCTGTGCATTGGTTATAATTTTTACAATGTGTCAGTATTCCTGTTATTTCCATTCTGTTTATAAACATTCTGTTTTCATTGATCTAGCTTCCCTTTGCCTTCTCTATTTTGCTTTTGGGTAAATGTTGACCATTTGGTATCATTCAGTTAATTAGTTAAGGAAGCACATTATTCATGGGTGATACTGTTTATTTTATAAGGTAATCTATTATTTGATTGTAAAGTAACCTCCATAGGTTGTTTCAATTTCATGTTCAAAGGGTATATTAGGGGAATAGTCTCAGGGAATCTTCTAGTCTCTATCAGTCTAGTAGGTCTGGCATGTTTTTGGAATTTTACTTTTGTTCTACAATTTTTCTACAATCTACCCAGGGTCGTCTATTGTATCCCTAGTCAGAATTTTTGGTAGCTGGATACCATATAATTCTGGTGTCAGATTGTTGTTTGTTGTTGTTAAGTGCCGTCAAGTCGGTTCCGACCCATAGCGACCCTGTACAGGGTTTCCGAGGCTGTAAATCTTTACGGGAGCAGAACGCCTCATCTTTCTCCCGTGGAGCGGCTGGTAGTTTCGAACTGCTGGCCTTGAGGTTCGCAGCCCGATTCGTAACCAGTACGCTTAGAAGAGGTTAAAGTTTGTGTGCTGGTATAGCACTATAAACATTGGACTACAAGGTTGGTTTGAACTGCAAGATTGGTGGTTCAAACTTACCAGCCACTCCTCAGAAACACTATATAGGGTTGCTATTAGTTGGAACTGACTCAACAGCACTTATCAACAACTTTAGTCTCATGAACTACTTTCTTCTTTGACTCTTGTACTCCCTTCATTTTCTTTAGCTCCTTATGAGTAAAGGCTAATATTTGTATCTTAAATGGCCACTTGCAAGCTTTTAAAATCCAAAACACTACTCACCAAATTAAGATGCAGATATTTGTGAGCCATATTATGCCAGTTCACTGTTTTCCCCAGAGACTATGGTCCCAAGTATTTTAACCCAGTAAACCAACCCTGGAGTTGTATGCATGTGTCTGTTGTTGTTAAGTGTCATTGAGTCTGTTAAAGACTCATAGAGACCCTGTACAGGGTCTCTGAAGAGTGGCTGGTGGCTTTGAATCACCAACCTTGTAGTTAGTAGTCCAGTGCTTATCCTACAGTTGTTGTTGTTAAGTGCCGCCTAGTTGATTCCGACCCATAGCGGCCCTGTATAGGGTGTCCAAGGAGCAGCTGGTGAGCTTGAACTGCCGACCTTGCAGTTCAAATGGCTTTGCAGTATGGCGCGTTAACCCACAGCACCACACCATGACTCCATTTATCCTACAGTGCCACACCATATATCTAGGAATCAATTATGTTTGTACAGAGAACAGTACTGCTTTCATAGCCACATATAGATATTCACATTGAAAAAAAAACCAAAAAACAACTGTTTGGGGTAATACAGCATTAAAGAACACATGAAATGTTGTCAAGAAAAACGTGTTCACATAAGTAACAAACATAGGATTAGTATTCTTGATAGACAAAGAAATCAGTAGCGAGACAGGAAAATTAACCTAGAATTCTTATTTAAGGCATAAGTGATGCCCAACAAATCTATGAAAAGTTGTCAAACCTAATGACTACAAAAACACAGCTAACTACAAAATTTCAGATAAGGTAATAGAGGGAAGTTAGGTCTTTAGCTCCTAACCACTGTTTCTGTGTTGAGTGGTCTCCTGTCTTAGGACTGAAGTCAGCATGGTGAAAGGATGGGTCTGGAAACTTGAGTAGATATTTAATCCTGAAAAATGTACATACCTACCATGAATCTGAGCTTGGTCAACTGTAAAATGGGACTTAATGTTTCCTTTTTCGCTGTCTGGATGGTCTTGCTATTCATGATCTTTGACAAAGCAGTTTGACTTCAAGGAATTTATTATACAAAACTATTCAAACAACTCTTAACAGAAAAAATGAAAATTTAAAAAACTGGTAACTATTCATTATCCAAGGTACTGATACAGCCAACATGTAACAGATTTTCTGAAGCTGTTAAAAAGTATGTTGCATGAAAACTTCAAAATGTTATTGAAAGAAACTAAAGAAGGCATAAAAGGTGGAGAGAAATATTTTTTTCATGGCTCAGGAGACTCATTATTGCTAAGATGCAATTTTTCCACAAATTGATAGATTGATTCAAATCTATCCAAATCAAAACCCAACAGATATATTTGTAGAAAATTACAAGCTGATTCTAAATTGCATATGAAAATGAAAGAGATAAAATTTCCAAAATAATGTTGAAAAAGAATAAAGTTAGAGGACTTATACTGTCTGATTTCAAGACTTATTATGAAGGTACAGTAATTTAGAAATTGAGGCAGTGACATCAAGATAGACAAGTAGAAAAGTGGAGTATAATAAAAGGCCCAGAAATAGACCCTACTTGTATGGACAACAGGTTTTTGACAAAGGTGCACAGGTAACTTGGTGAATAGTGAAAAAGGATCTCTTAAGCAAATGGTGCTAGAAAAATTAGATATTGCTATGATAAAAATAAGCCTTGGTGTGGTGCTGTAAGATAAACACTATACTGACACTTCAAGTTTAGTAGTTCAAACCTACCAGCCATTCCTGAAATCCCTATGCAGGGTCACTGAGTGGGAACCAATTCAATTCCACACAATAAATGCCAAAAATAAACTTTGATCCATAACTCACACCATATACAAAAATAAACTCAAAACAATTAATATATCTAAATGTCAAACATATAACATTTTTAGAGGTAAGCATAGTAGAAAATCTTTGTGACCTGGGCTCGGCAAAAATTTCTTATATAAAACACCAAAGCCCAAGTGGTGAAATCTTTTCTGTAAGTTTAAAAGCTTCTACTCTTTAAAAGGCACTTTAAAGGAAAAATAAAATTAGCCCCCACACTGGGAGAAAATAGCTATTAAAACATGTAACTAAAGAGGGAGTTGTATCCTGAATATAATTTTTTTAAAACCTCTTAAAGATAAACAATAAGACTACCCAATTTTTATTCTTCACTAAATATATATGGATGACAAACATGTACCTAAAAATATTAGTTATCATTGTTGTTATTGTTAGGTACCATTGAGGTTGTTAGGTGTTATTAGGTGCCATAGCGATCTTATGCACAGCAGGACAAAACACTGCCTGATCCTGGGCCAACCTCACTACTGTTGCCACGCTTGAGTCCATTGATGCTGCCACTTGGCCAATTCGTCTCGTTGGGAGTCTTCCTCTTTTCCTCTGACCCTCCATCTTACCAAACATGATATCCTTCTCCAGTGACTGGTCCCTACTGACAAAATGTCCGAAGTATGAGAGACAAAGTTTGGCCATCTTGGCCTCCAAGGAGCACTCTGGCTGCACTTCTTCCAAAACGGATCTATTGGTTCTTTTGGCAGCCCATGGCACCTTCAATACTCTCCTCTCATACTTTGGACATATTGTCAGGAGAGAACAGTCGCTGGAGAAGGATGTCATGCTGGGTAAGATGGAGGGACAGAGAAAAAGAGGAAGACCCCCCAACGACATGGATCAGCCAGGTGGCATCATTGATGGCGTCAAGTGTGGCAGCAGTGGTGGGGTTGGCCCAGGATCAAACATTGTTTCGTTCTGCTGTGCGTGGGGTCGCTATGAGTCGGTTCTGACTCGATGGCACCTGACAACAACAACAACAACACCATAACTCAAAAGCATCAATTCTTCTACGGTCTTCCTTACTCACTGACCAGCTTTCACATGCATATGAGGTTATTGAAACTACCATGGCTTGGCTCAGGCTGACATCTTTGCTCTTCAACACTTCAAAACGGTCTTGGGCACCAGATTAGTTTTCATTAGAGCAATGAAAATAAAAACTAGAATGTGACATAGCTAAAGTGAAAAAGACGAACTGCCCCCCTGCAAAAAAAAAAAAGAAAAAAAAAGAAAAGTACTCACAAAAAGCCATGAAGAAGCTTTTTGGGGTGATGGATAGGGTCACAATGTTAATTGTGAAGTTTTCATGCATGTAATCATATGTCTAAACTTACCAACTATGTGCAGTTTATTATCTGTCAGTTATACCTCAAAAAAAGTCATTAAATAAAAATCATAGGACAGATCTGTAGAAAAATGAGTTAGGAAAATTAGAGGGAAAGGAAATTTTAGAATACCACATTCTTAATTTTGCAAAGGAATACATTTGTGTATATGTGTATTAATGTATATGTATATTATGGAGTCCTAGTGTGGCATTAAAGCATAAGCACTCTACTCCAGGGTCGGTTTGAACCACAAGGTCGGCAGTTCAAACTCACCAGCCACTCCTTGGAAACCCTATACAGGGTCGCTAAGAACCTACTCGATGGCACTTAACAACAACAATAATATTAGAAAGTATACAAATAAAAAAATTGGACAACTTTACACCAACTGTTAACATAGGAAAAACACTACATGGTACAAAAATATGTTGCAGAAGCATATTTATTGACATAGGTAAATTTTTACAATATGCTGTTAGGGTAAAGGCAAGCT